TGTGCACAGTGGTTCGCCACGTGAGTGAGCGCTGCGCGGAGCTGAGCGCGCGGGTTGCGCGTGGGTACGCAGTGATTCTGTGGTGCTGCGGCTCGCCTCGGGGGAGCGCTGCGCAGAGCGGTGCGAGAGTAGGTGTCGCGTGTGTTCACTCCGTGTGTGATACAGGTGCGCGAGTATAACGTGAGTTGAGTTGGAGTGCGCGGAGCGGCGTGTGTGTGGGCGTGCGTGCGTTCGCTCCGCGTGGGTTGCAGGCGCGCGATTAGGAAAGGGAAGTATCGTAGTAGAGAGGGGCAGAATACTAATCGGTAATTAACCATGCCCATTACGCGGACCCGCGGTGGAGGGGAATCCGCGGGCGACGGCTCCCCCGCCATAGGTGAGGAACTTAGCAGCGGTTCGCTTAGCAGCGGGGGGGCGATTGATGATGCTAGCCCGGCCGTTAGCATTATCGAGGGAGGAATCTCGGGGGCTAGCGACCCCCACATATTGGTGTCAGAAGCGGGACGATCCCCCGCACCCCCAAGGGAAAGAGGCCCCCAACCCAGGTTAAAATCAAATGCACATTTACGGGCAAAGGAATTCCATCATGGAAATCGTTTGCCCGCAGCATCAGGGGGGCTAAAAAGGTTAATGGGTGGTCGGATGAGGAGGCGTTGCAGCAGTTAGAGATACATTTAGATGGACGGGCAGCTGACTTTGTGGAAGCTTTGCCCGCAAGCACACAAACTCAGTGGGAAAAATTAATGTGCGAACTCGAACGGCGCTTCGGCGCCTATGACGAGGAGGAGGCGCAGGCGGCCTTAGAGGCACGCCGCCGCCAGCCCGGCGAGGATCTGCGAGATTACGCCGAGGACGTACGCATGTTGACCCAGCTTGCGTACCCAGAGCACGAGGCGAAAGTAATTGAGAGCCTCGCCACCGGGAAGGTCCAGCGATATTTGGCACGCACCCCGTGGTGGCAGCCAAATATAGACGGTGCACGCCTCTCCTTTAACACACTTGTCGAGCGCGCGCGTAAATGCGAGAAGCTCTCTGGTGAGCGCGCGCAGCCTCGAGGGAGGGGACGAGAGTGCGCCGTAGCGAGCCTACTCTCGGACGAGGAGGAGGAGCTCGCCATCGCAGTAAGAGGACGGGCAAGGGAGCCCCAGAGACCCAGCGAAACAACTCCGGGGTGGGTAGCTGGGTTACAGGCAGGTATGGGAGATATGATAAACCAAGTAGGTGATAGGGTAACCCACGTAGGTGAGAATGTGACCAAACTGCAATCCGCCGTTGAGACCATCCGATCCGAAATGGGGGACCTACGCGCCACGGTAGGAGGGTTATCTGGAAGGGTAGCCCGACTAGAGGCGGAGGGTGGACAGCGGCGTAATGGGGGGGGAGGGAGTGGGCAGGGGGCCCACTACGGAGCCGCCCCCCCTCCCCGGGCATGTTATATGTGCGATCGCCGAGGGCATCTAGTGAGGGACTGTCCTGAAATCACCCGAGCTAGACAGACGCGGGGGTTAAACTCCAACGCCCCCTAGAGAGCGGACCAACTAGGGGTGCAATCGACGCGGTCCCGATACAAATAGACGATAATGAGAATAATGGCGAGCGAGTGATCTCCACACAGGTTCCAGCAACAACGCCCACTGAAACGGTGACTCCTGGCGACTGGCTGCGGGAGCTGGTGGCGGGGATCACGGGGGCCACGTCGCTGGTGGAAGGGGAGGTTAACGGAGTGCGTACCCGAATCCTGCTGGACACGGGGGCGGTGGCCTCGCTCGTGAGCGCAGCGCACTGCAGCGCGATCGGGGTCGACGTGCGTCACCTGCAGGCACCGGACCGCGCGCTGCACACGGCGAGCGGAGCCGGAATGGGGTTGCTGGGGAGAGCCACCCTAGAGGTCCGCATAGGCAGCCAGGTGTGCACGCAGGAGTTCTACGTGTCGAGTGCGTTGTGTCACGAGTGTATCGCAGGCACCGACCTCCTAGAACGGTTGGGACTCAACGTGCAACCACGCCAGCGATGCGCCACCATGGAGAGCAACGGCGAGCGGATACCGTTCCTGGGACGAGAACCAACGCGCCGCCGCTTTGCACCTGTGGCCGCTATCCTGGCGACGGCAGTCACCATCGGCCCGCTCACCGAGATGCTGGTGCCGGTGGCAACATCCCCCACCGACCCCGCGCTCCGACCATCAGGGGAGGTAATGCTAACTCCTCACCCGGAGTTGGCAAAACGGTATGGGGTTGTGGGATCCGCCACGTTGGTAAACGCAGATGGGGACCGATTGTTTATGCGGATGTTTAACCCCCACAATACCCCCGCGATAATGCGACGGCGCACCCCGATAGCCACAGTACACCCCCTGCACGCACGCCACTCTAACGACTCGGTGTTCGCACTCTGGGCTGAGGACCCCGGTCGTCCTGAGGGTGAGCAGGACCTGGCCTGGCGAGTCGGCCCGACTCCCCGAGCCGAGGTCGTTCCCCTGCTCGACGCGTTACATGTACCCTGGGCGGACTTACCTAAGGGAGAGGCCGATCGGCTGCGCGAGTTACTGCGGGAGTATGCCGACGTGTTCAGCGAACACGACTCGGACGTGGGTCGGACCGACCTTGTTAAGCATCAAATTGACACCGGTGCAGCCCGACCCATCAAACTCCCTGCGTACCGAGTGGGCGCACCCGAACGCGCCCAAATCAAAGAGGCAGTTGGGGACATGCTTCGCGATAACATAATTCAGCCCTCGGCGAGCCCCTGGTCAGCCCCGGTGGTACTAGTAACGAAAAAGGATGGGTCAACCCGGTTCTGCGTCGATTACCGTAAACTAAACGCAGTCACGCTCGGCGATGCCTTCCCCATACCTCGCATCGACGACACCTTCGACAGTCTCGCAGGAGCGCGGTATTTTTCCACCCTCGATCTGGCGTCCGGTTACTGGCAGGTGGAGATGACGGAGGAGGATCGGCCAAAAACAGCATTCACCACCCCGATGGGCCTGTTTGAGTTTCGCGTGTTGCCGTTCGGACTCACTAACGCGCCCGCGACGTTCCAGCGGTTGATGGAGTTGGTGATGCGGGGCTTGCAGTGGGAACAGTGCCTGATTTACTTGGACGATGTGATCGTGTTCAGTAGATTTTTGTCTGAGCATTGGTCCAGGCTACGAGAGGTGTTCCAGTGACTGCGAGCGGCTCATCTCAAGCTCAAGCCACGTAAGTGTTACATCGCACAACGCGAGGTAGGGTACCTCGGGCATCGCGTCAGCGAGGCGGGCGTGCGCACCGATCCGGAGAAGGTACGCGCCGTAGTGGAGTGGCCACGGCCAAGGAATCTGACGGAGATCAGATCATTTTTGGGGCTCGCCACCTATTATCGTCGATTTGTAAAGGGATTCAGCGAGATTGCACGCCCCCTCACCCAACTCACCTCCCCTAAGCACCCCTATCAGTGGACGGGGGCCTGCCAGACGGCCTTCACCACTCTCAAAGACCACCTCACCCACGCCCCCACCCTCGCTTTCCCCAATTTTACCACCGATTTTATTTTGGACACCGACGCCTGCAGCAGCGGGCTGGGCGCGGTGTTGTCACAGGTACAGGATGGGACGAAATGAGTCATCGCGTACGCCAGCCGGACCCTGAGTGGGGCCGAGCTGAACTATTGCGTGACCCGCCAAGAGTTGTACGCTGTGATTTTCGCATGTAAACAGTTCCGGCCGTATTTGTACGGCCGGAGATGTCGCGTACGCACTGACCATTATGCTCTTCAGTTCCTTCTTACATTCAAGGAGCCGCGGGGGCAGATGGCCCGGTGGTTGGCGCAGTTGCAGGAGTACCATTCATAATCTATAAATATATTCCGTCTTTTGTTATTCGATGACATCTAGCAGTGAAAATCGTGATTGTAATATGACCATGTTGTAATCGTAATAATTTATATCCGACCTTTGCATATGGTTATAAATTAAAACACTAGTTTATAATCGTTTAATGTTTAGTGTTATCGTTTATAGTATTACAGTTTACATGTTATAAAGTACAGTTTATCCCCGACATACTTCGGGATTAGTGACTGGTACGTTGATGAACGATTAACTACGGGGACCTTTCCCCTCAAGGAACACGTGTTAATTGGGTAGACAGCCAAGATGCTGCCGGTTAAGGGCACACTTGTGTGATGGAGATCCTCCACCTGAAATTATCTTAACATGTTTTTGCAATGAACATTATAAAATAAAGAACGGACAAACATTTGTTAAAAATACGTTTTATTCATCTGCAATCATTTTTACGTCAAAACTCGAAGGGAATATTTATTATGTCCTATGTTCACACATTTCCAGTACCATGCAAACCATTTCCGTTCCAGGAATACCAAAGCGTTAAAGTATCATTTCCCATGATTTCCTTATTAGTTCACCACATTTGTTCACTGTGCGTCTATGTTGAAGTCAAGGCCATATATCCAACGAACGCGTCATCAATGTACATCCTGAAATCGGCTATCTAAAATCGATTAATAAAAAAAAAAAAGCTCTACACTTGACACAAAATCTTTAAAATGTTGAGTAAAGATTTACCTACAGACGCATTCCAACTTTAGCTCAACAGGAACACCTAACGACTACAATGAACCCTCTCACAACCAGTGCTCACCACACCACTTCGGCAAGTAATCCGATAACATTACAAACCACCACTGTGCACGTGATTAAACTCTCACAAACTGTAAAACTAAAATAGTCAAAATTACACACAAAAGTACTCGATACGGCTTAATAGGTATAGCCACATGACATAATATTGTTTCAGTCACCCCGAGTTCTCGGGTTGATCCTCGAGCCACTCCATTACATCCAACCATCTCTCGGGATCCAACTGCATGGGATCGATAGTGGAATTATCTTCAGGAATCATTGCAGCACCTTGAATTCCACCTTTTGATTTCAGCTTCCTATCATTGTGGACCTTCTGATGCCTGTTCATGTTTGATGACTGTGAAAATGCCTCCCCACACACAGAGCACAAGAATGGCTTCTCGCCCGTCTGCGTTCTCTGGTGACGCTGAAGATGTGATGACCGTGCAAATGTCTGCCCACACACAGAGCAAAGGAATGGCTTCTCGCCCGTGTGTGTTCTCTGATGAGTTTGAAGAGTTGATTCCTGTGCAAATATCTTCCCACATACAGGGCACAGGAATAGCTTCTCGCCCGTGTGTGTTTTCTGGTGACTCTGAAGAGTTGATGACCGTGCAAATGCCTTCCCACACACAGAGCACGGGAATTGCTTCTCGCCAGTGTGTGTTCTCTGGTGACTCTGAAGATGTGATGGCCGGGAAAAGGACTTCCCACACACAGGGCAATTGAATGACTTCTTGCCTCTGTGTGCGTGGGGCTGTGGAGAGCGTCTCTGCTCCATGTGAGCGTAGTAACAGCAGCGGTGTTATCGAGTCAAAAGTACGCTATCGGCCGCAAGGATGTTTAGCGTTGAGTTTTGGATTTTGTTAACTGCTAAAACAAGAACGACACTCGCGTCTAACCGAGACGCAAAAAAATACCGCTAATTTGACGACGAACACGTTTAAGAGTTTATCCGCGAAAATAGAAACTTACTTGGAGATTCACGGTATATCGATGTCTGGAACCCGTCTGAAGATGTCGCCACGAACTCTCCCGACGCAAAGTCGCCTAACTGTCGACGCAGCAATTGTGCTCGCCAGGCTGCGTTGTCTCGCGGTTGAAGGGTGATCAGCAGACCGACGAGTCGAGCGTCCAACCTCGTCAAGTTCCCTCTCGAAATGGCATTGAGCTCTGCTTCTGAGCCGCCTTATAACTCCCCCCTCGGATCCAATCCTTTGTCTTTCAGGATATTTGCATTCGATTGTTAATTTTGGAAGGTACAATCCGCATGTTTATTAACATACCGAAGGGTAATGTGCCCATTGTGCTTCATGCATGAATATGTAAGTGCATCTCAGTGTGTAATTGTGCGCATATTTTGAATAAATCGGATTAGCGCTGGAAAACACGTTCCCCATGCCCTCCATTGTCCTCGATTTAAAGTGAATGCAGCCCCGTGGCGTTGCCAAAAAAATCGCCGAGCTTCGGGAGTGAGCACGTACAGACGCGTAGTGACCACACTTACAACACTATCACTCTAACATCAGTTACCAAAATCCGATCTGGTACATGGTCTCCGCTTGGTCTGGTTTGTATCCGTCATAACTCTGGAGACAAACAGCGAGGCATGTTTTGGCCAGCCACCACCTCGTTTGCCAACGCGACTTTAATAGCTGCTCTCAAACAACACTATCACCAATTGTGGTTTACAGGCTAGGCTGTTAAGCGGACAATCAGTCTTTTTGGGCAAGGCGCATGGGATAATACACACCTCTGTTATCCCGAAACACAATACACAGCATCGGTAAGGCTGCCTTGTTGGGGAGATGTCGTTTGGGTAAGGTGCTGTCACTGGAGTTAGGCGATGTGACTGGGTTATCACACGGATTCCGAAAAGCAGCTTAGACGATACGATCCACTGCGCTCCATCTCCCCACATGAACGACGACATTCTGAGTTTTAAAAAAGTTGAATATATATTTTAAATACGTTTTTTTAATAATGTTTATTGTATCTATGTTACAATGTGTGATTGTTATACTCTTTATTTGTGTATACTGTATATACTTATATGGCTATTAGATTCCACTGATACGACACATTCATCCAACAGTGGAAAGTGTGATTCTAATACGACGAGTGGGATTCGAATAATTGTAATTCGATTCTAATCCTGCATATCCTACCCCCGGTTGGCATATCAACTTACCATACGTACAACCACAGTGTGATTCTAATTAGCTCAGTGCGATTCTAATGATTAGTATGCGATTATAATCCCACGCCTCCAATTATGTGGTTCTGCACTATAACAGTTAATCGTATTATCAAGCGTTACAATGGATAGGTTGTAGTTCATAGGTTATAATATTATATTTCACTATGTTAGAGTTTAACATGTGAGAGTTTACAATGTCAGAGTTGATCAAGAGCGTCAATCTTGATCGACGCAGAAGCAAATACAGCAGCAGCAACATCACATTTCTAGGGCGACGCAGCTACTTCTGATTCTGCTGCTTCCGCTGCTCAGATATTTGTTGCCATGCCCTGCTCTCGCGGGACCCCACACGTCTTTGGAAATGATTGAGATGAAGATGCCTGAGCTGATAATTAAATTAATAAAGAGTACTTTGTTTGTGTGTAGGTCTGTGTCATCGGGGATCAGCGAACACTGCTTATGAATGAACTCGCACACCTTTATGACCGACATTGTACTAATTTGGTTGATCGAGACGAACAAGGCACGTGCCATGTCCAGACGAATTGATATTAACAATATTGTCCTTAAATATAATGCTAACACTGGATTAACGTTAACACTGGATTAAACATGCACATTTTAAACCCTGCCTAGCATTTATGACTAACGATTCGCATTTGCACATAACATATATTCAAGCACAGTAAAATGCGCATACGAACATATTGTTACTAGAATAATTTTAATGCGATTCTAACCCTGCAAACCCCCTACTGTTCGCATATCCGTCCCCCGATTCGATTGAACGTATACTTTACAAACATATGAGCGATTAAAATGCTTCTAATGACATTCTCATACCGTAACTCCGTTTATGGTGGAATCTATTATAAAAAATTTTTTTAAGTCGTTTAATGTTTAGTGTTATTGTTCATAGTGTTATCAGTTTACATGTTATAGAGTACAGGTGATCCCCCGTATACTTCGGGTTTCGGGACCAGAAGGTTGTGAAACGATTAGCAAGCCGCTAATTAAAAGAACACGGGGCGGCGGGAACACGTGCTTCCATGGGCGGTCGTAGACAGGTTGTATTGCCCAAAGGTGACACCGGGTACGTCCCCCAAGTTGCTCCGCCCACGGCGGCGACAGGTAGAAGTCATGGAGGTGAAATGGCCGCAGTGTGTACGCATGTAGTTATGTCCGTCCCAACCCAGACAGCTCATCCCCATGTCCTGTACAGCCCAAGTCTGGTGTGTCCGACGTGGTGGGGCACTCGGCAACGGAAACCGTACGCCAAAAGGAAATGTGTTGTGGCGCCCACAGTTTCCGAGCCCCTGAGGCCCGGGGTGCCTCAAGGATCCGCCACGTGCGAGGATCCAGTGCCTGGAGCCTGGTCATATTCTTCAAAAGAAGCCAGGGACCTGCCTAATCCTTCAAGGCTGTGGTGCGAACCCTTGACGCCCCGAAATGCACAAGATTCTACCATGGGCGCGGGACGGGCGTCGAGAACCAGGTCAAAATGCGCAAGGTTGCGCTTGTAGGCTCCACGCAAAATATCAATGCTGTATATTATTAACTAGCAGTAGTACCCGGCGTTGCCCGGGTGAAAAATATATTTCTTAATAACCTTACATATATACACACCCTCACCACTCAGCACTCACCCTCACCATTCACCCTCACCACTCTCCCTCACCACTCTCCCTCACCACTCATCCTCACCAATAACACCCTCACCACTCTCCCTCACCACTCATCCTCAGCAATCACACCCTCACGAATCACCACTCACCCTCAACACTCACCCTCACCACTCACCCTCACCATTCACCCTCACCTCTCTCCCTCACCACTCATCCTCACCAATCACACCCTCACCAATCACCACTCACCCTCACCACTCACCACTCACCCTCACCATTCACCCTCACCACTCTCCCTCACCACTCTTCCTCACCACTCTCCCTCACCACTCATCCTCACCAATAACACCCTCACCACTCTCCCTCACCACTCATCCTCACCAATCACACCCTCACCAATCACCACTCACCCTCAACACTCACCCTCACCACTCACCCTCACCATTCACCCTCACCTCTCTCCCTCACCACTCATCCTCACCAATCACACCCTCACCAATCACCACTCACCCTTACCACTCACCACTCACCCTCACCATTCACCCTCACCACTCTCCCTCACCACTCTTCCTCACCACTCTCCCTCACCACTCATCCTCACCAATAACACCCTCACCACTCTCCCTCACCACTCATCCTCACCAATCACACCCTCACCAATCACCACTCACCCTCACCACTCACCACTCACCCTCACCATTCACCAGAGAGATTTGCGATTTTATATATATAGATTCTGACCTTACTCCCTCCGTTTGATGCTGCTAATCCTGCATAATGCATGGACATAATGACTTTGAACCCCTCGCCAAACCTCCTACGCAGTTCACAAGTAGTGCTAATCGCACATCTGCATTTGCCATAAATATGCTAAATTCCTCTTGATATGCAAATTATTTTGTAAAGACGCTCTTCGCTCCTCCATCCCAGCATAAATAGTCGCTCCAAGCCTGGAGCGTGACATACAGACTCTGTCTACTTGACGGACCTGTTCTCCACCTGAGGACGGCTGCTTGCGTTGTGGCCGAAACGTCGTGAGAATTATTTAATTATGTTTTATTTTTATTATTTTATTACTTCCCTTCTACGTGACTTTACCGAAAGAACCAAGAAGATGTATATTGCTATTCGGTGCCATTGCGATGTAACATTCTACCAGCAGTGGGCAGCTTGATTCTAATACGACCATGGTGCTATTTTAATAATTTTGATGCAATTCTGAATCTGGCACCACCCAGGCCGCATTTACGACTCCCGATGTGCATCTACATTTAACATACATTCTAGCTCAGTGTAATTCTAATACTACCAAAGTGTGATTCTAATCATTTTAATCCGATCATAATCCTGCACCCCCCAATTCGCATATCCGACCACCGGTTCGCATGTCCAAAGGCCATAGATGCATATTACATTCGTACATACGAGCACAGTTCGCTTGCACGTACACTATACATACATATGCGCAGAGTGTGATTCTAATACAATCACATTGTAATTCTAATTCTTGAAATGAGATTATAATACCGTACCTCTGTTTTTGGTGTTATAAATGATGAAACTAGTTTATAGTATTTTAATGTTTCGTGTTATCGTTTATAGTGTTACAGTTCACATGTCTTAGCGTACAGGATTCCCTGTATACTTGATGATTAGGGACCGTAACGTTGCGAATAGATTTATAATAAGGGAACATTTCCCCTCCAGGGACACATGTTAATGGGGAGACAGCCAAGATGCTGCCGGTTAAGGGCAGATGTGTGACGAAGATCCTCCACCTGAAACTCGCTTAAAACACGTTGTTGAAATGAATACATAAACGGACACACATTTGTTTAAAAAAATCGTTTTTATTCATCTGCAATCATTTTAAGTCAAAACTCGAACCGAATGTATTATGTCCTATGTTCACACATTTCCAGTACCATGCAAACCATTTCCGTTCCAGGAATACCAACGCGTTAAAGTATCATTCCCCATTATTTCCTTATTAGTTCACCACATTTGTTCACTGTGCGTCTATGTTGAAGTCAAGGCCATATATCCAACGAACGCGTCATCAATGTACATCCTGAAATCAGCTATCTAAAATCGATTAATACCAATCAAAAAAAGCCATACACATGAAAAAAATCTTTAAAATGTTGAGTAAAGATGTATCTACAGACGCATTCCAACTTTAGCTCAACAGGAACACCAAACGACTATAATTGAACCCTCTCACCACCAGTACTCATCACACCACTTCAGCAAGTAATCCGATAACATTACAAACTACCACTGTGCACGTCATTAAACTCTCAAAAATTACACACAAAAGTACTCGGTACGGCTTAATAGGTATAACCACATGCAACATTATATTTCAGTCACCCCGAGCTCTCGGTTTGATCCTCGAGCCACTCCATTACATCCAGCCATCTCTCGGGATCCAACTGCATGGGATCGAAGGTGGAAACTTCTTCAGGACTCATTGCAGCACCTTGAATTTCAGCTTTTGATTTCAGTTTCCTATCATTGTGAACCTTCTGATGCCTGTTCATGGTTGATGAGTCTGCAAATGTCTTCCCACACACAGGGCACAGGAAAGGCTTCTCGCCCGTGTGTGTTCTCTGATGACTATGAAGAGTTGATGAGTCTGCAAATGTCTTCCCACACACAGCGCACAGGAATGGCTTCTCGCCCGTGTGTGTTCTCTGATGACTATGAAGATTTGATGACTTGGAAAATGTCTTCCCACACACAGGGCACAGGAATGGCTTCTCGCCCGTGTGTGTTCTCTGATGACTATGAAGAGTTGATGAGTCTGCAAATGTCTTCCCACACACAGGGCACAGGAATGGCTTCTCGCCCGTGTGTGTTCTCTGATGACTATGAAGATTTGATGACTTTGAAAATGTCTTCCCACACACAGAGCACAGGAACGGCTTCTCGCCCGTGTGTGTTCTGTGGTGTTTCTTAAGATGTGATGACCGTGAAAAGGACTTCTCACACACAGAGCAATTGAATGGCTTCTTGCCTCCGTGTGCGTGGGGCTGTGGAGAGCCTCTCTGCTCCATGTGAGCGTAGTAACAGCAGCGGTGTTATTGAGTCAAAAGTACGCTATTGGCCCCAAGGATGTTTAACGTTGAGTTTTGGATTTTGTTAACTGCTAAAACAAAAACGACACTCGCGTCTAACCGAGAGAAAAAACAAATCCCGCTAATTTGACGACGAACACGTTTAAGAATTTATCCGCGAAAATAGACACTTACTTGGAGATTCACGGTATATCGATGTCTGAAACCCGTCTGAAGATGTCGCCACGAACTCTCCCGACCCAAAGTCGCTTAACTGTCGACTCAGCAATTGTGCTCGCCAGGCTGCGTTGTCTCGCGGTTGAAGGGCGATCAGCAGAGCGACGAGTCGAGCGTCCAACCTCATCAAGTTCCCTCTCGAAATGGCATTGAGCTCTGCTTCTGAGCCGCCTTATAACTCCCCCCCTAGGATCCAATCCTTTGTCTTTCAGGATATTTGCATTCGATTGTTAATTTTGGAAGGCACAATCCGCATGTCTATTAACATACCGAAGAATAATGTGCCCATTGTGCTTCGTGCATTAATATGTACGTGCATCTCAGTGTGTAATTGTGCGCTTATTTTGAATAAATGGAAAAACATTGTCCTCCATTTAAAGTGAATGCAGAGAAATTAGCATGTAACTTTAGAAAAGGAAGAGAGCGGCCTTCTCGACGAGGGAGTGAAACCCAATAGGTAATATTCTTTTACAGCGTTACAATGGATAGGTTGTAGTTCATAGGTTATAATATTATGTTTCACTATGATAGAGCTTAACATGTGAAAGTATACAATATCAGAGTTGATCAAATGCGACAATCAAGGGCGTCAAGCGGGTGAGTTTGATCAGAGGCTTTAATCAAAGGCGTCATCCCATCACGGAACACCACCTCCCTGCGTTTATTACAGCAACAGAAGCAACTACAGCAGCAACAACAGCAGCGACAACAATAGCAGCAACATCACATTTCGAGGGCGACGCAGCTACTTCCGATTCTGCTGCCCAGCTTTTTGTAGTCGGGACCTGCTCTCGCAGGACCCCACACGTCTTTGGAAATGATTGCGATGATCATGTCTGAGCTGATAATTAAGTCACTCAAGATTACTTTGTTTAACCATAACTTTAGGTAGGTTAGTGTCATAAGGGCTCTGTGAATACTACTCATGAATGAAATCACACTCCTGTATGACCGACATTGTAATAATTTTGGTTGATCGAGTAGAACAAGTCACATGACATGTCCAGACGAATTATTATCAACAACAATGTCGTTAAATATGATGCTAAAATAAATGTTAACACTGGATTAAACGTGTACCTCTTAACCCCTCCCTCGCATTTACGACTGACGATTTGCATTTGCACGTAACATACATTCAAGCACAGTGAAATGCTAATACAACAATATTGTTATTCTAAAATGTGAATGCGATTCTTGCCCTGTACCCCCCACAGTTCACATATCCGACCCCCGGTTCGATTTAACAGATAATTTACATACATGTGTAGAGTGCGATTGTAATACTTCTAATGAGATTTAAATACCGTACCTCCGTTTATGGTGCTATAAATTATAAAAACAGTTGATATTTTTATTGTCGTTTAATGTTGAGTGTTATTGTTTATAGTGTTATCAGTTTACGTGTTTTTAAGTACAGGTGATTCCCGGTATACTTCGGTATTCTGGACCTGAACGTCGCGAAACGATTCATAACGAGGACCTTTCCCCACCAGAGCGCAAGCCGCTAATGAAAAGAACTCGGGCCGGCGGGAACACGTGCTTCCATGGTTGGTCGGGGACAGGGCATGGTTGTATTGCCTACAGATGCCACCGGGAAAATCCAAGTTGCTCCGCCCATGGCGGGGACAGGTAGAGGTCATAGAGGTGGGTGATGTAAAGACAGTGCGTCAACTAAGGGACAAGTGGTGACAACAAGATAGAGAGAGTTCGAGAAGGGAAGGCGAGACCAAGTGTGGGCGGAGGTTCACGGCGAGAATGAGAGAGGGGGAGGAACGAGGTTTGGGGCTGTGTTGGCTGGTTGCTGTCTCGTCGTCGTCGTTGCTATATCGTGACGCCTGGGGTCTGAAACCGCGTTAAAGGCTACATAAAAGAATCCTCTGCAGTATGAGTTCGGAGTCATTACAATTGTAACGATTCATTATTTCACGGGCTAATATTGGGTTTGTGCGATTATTTTACATATTCATACTGAATATTGTTATTTGATGCCATTGAGATGGAACATTCATCCAGAAGTGGACAGCTTGATCCTAATACCACCAAAGTGTTATTCAAATAATTATAATCCCATCCTGATCCTGCACCTTCCGTTTCACATATCCCACCCTTGGTTCGCACGTCCATATTACATACATACATGTTACATGCATACATACTACATAGAGACATATCTCATGCATACATATTACATACAGACATGTTACATACATACATATTACATTCATGCATGTTACATACAGACATGTTACATACTCACGAGCATAGTATGATTCTTAGAGGACCACGGTGTGAAGCAAAGAATTCGAATGAGATTCGAATATCACACTTGTTTATGATGTTATTTTATAGCGTTATAATGTATCGCTGTTAGCTTATATTGTTAGAGTTCACAACATTATAGTTTACTATAACACTAGTTTGTAGTGTTATTTTAAAGCGTTACAGTGTATAGCTCATAGTTTGAAGGTTATATTGTTAGAGTTTATAATGTTAGGGTATACATGTGAGTTTACAATTTGAGAGTTTGTGGACGTGCCCTGTTCTCGTGGGACCCGACACGGATTTGGAAATGATTGCTATGATCATGTTTGAGCTGGGATGAGCGACTAAAGTTTAACGTTGTTTAATCATAGCGGTGTGTAGGTTAGTGTCATCGGGGCTTAGTGAATACTACCCATGAATGAACTCATACTTCTTAACATGTTATAGAGTTCAGTTTATCCCCGACATACTTTGGGAATAGGGACTGGTACGTTGATGAACGATTAACTACGGGGACCTTTCCCCTCAAGGAACACGTGTTAATCGGGTAGACAGCCAAGATGCTGCCGGTTAAGGGCACAATTGTGTGACGGAGATCCTCCACCTGAAATTCTCTGAACATGTTTTTGCTAGGAACATTATGAAATAAAGAACGGACAAACATTTGTTAAAATTTATTCATCTGCAATAATTTTTAAGTCAAAACTCGAAGGGAATATTTATTATGTTCTATGTTCACACATTTCCAGTACAATGCAAACCATTTCCGTTCCAGGAATACCAAAGCGTTAAAGTATCATTCCCCATGATTTCCGTATTAGTTCACCACATGTGTTCACTGTGCGTCTATGTTGAAGTCAAGGCCATATATCTAACGAACGCGTCATCAATGTACATCCTGAAATCGGCTATCTTAAGTCGATTAATACCAACCAAAAAAAGCTATGTACTAAAAAAACCGTTTAAAATGTTGAATAAAGATGTACCTACAGACGCATTCCAACTTTAGCTCAACAGGAACACTTAACGACTAAAATTGAACCCTCTCACAACCAGTGCACTTCACACCACTTCGGCAAGTAATCCGATAACATTACAAACCACCACTGGGCACGTCATTAAACTCTCAAAAACTGTAAAACTAAAATGGTAAAAATAACGCACAAAAGTACTCGATATGGCTTAATAGGTGTAACCACATGCAATATTATGTTTCAGTCACCCCGAGCTCTCGGTTTGATCCTCGAGCCACTCCATTACATCCAGCCATCTCTCGGGATCCAACTGCATGGGATCGAATGTGGAAACTTCTTCAGCTTTTGATTTCAGTTTTCTATCATTGTGGACCTTCTGATGCCTGTTAAGATTTGACGACTGTGCAAATGCCTTCCCACACACAGAGCACAGGAACGGCTTCTCGCCCGTGTGTGTTCTCTGGTGTCTCTGAAGATGTGATGGCCATGAAAAGGACTTCTCACAGACAGAGCAATTGAATTGCTTCTTGTCTCCGTGTGCGTGGGGCTGTGGAGAGCGTCTCTGCTCCATGTGAGCGTAGTAACAGTAGCGGTGTTATCGAGTCAAAAGTACGCTATCGGCCGCAAGGATGTTTAGCGTCGAGTTTTGGATTTTGTTAACTGCTAAAACAAGAACGACGCTCGCGTCTAACCGAGACGCAAAAAAATCCCGCTAATTCAACGACGAAAACGTTTAAGAGTTTATCCGCGAAAAAAGACACTTACTTGGAGATTCACGGTATATCGATGTCTGGAACCCGTCTGAAGATGTCGCCACGAACTCTCCCGACGCAAAGTCGCCTAACTGTCGACACAGCAATTGTGCTCGCCAGGCTGCGTTGTCTCGCGGTTGAAGGGCGATCAGCAGAGCGACGAGTCGAGCGTCCAACCTCATCAAGTTCCCTCTCGAAATGGCATTGAGCTCTGCTTCTGAGCCGCCTTATAACTCCCCCCCTAGGATCCAATCCTTTGTCTTTCAGGATATTTGCATTCGATTGTTAATATTGGAAGGTACAATCCGCATGTCTATTAACATACCGAAGAGTAATGTGCCCATTGTGCTTCATGCATGAATATGTAAGTGCATCTCAGTTTGTAATTGTGCGCTTATTTTGAATAAATGAAAAAACATTGTCCTCGATTTAAAGTGAATGCAGCCCCGTGACGTTCCCAAAAACCGCCAAGCTTCGGGAGTGAGCACGTACAGATGCGTAGTGACCACACTTGCAATACAATCACTCTAACATTGGTAACCAAAATCCGATCTGGTACATGGTCTCCGCTTTGTCA